GTGAGCCACCGTGCCTGGCCCATACTTTTTTTTAATTACAAAGTATTATGGGGGTACAAATATTTTTGGTTACATGGATCACTTTTATAATGCTTGAGTCATGGTTATAAGTGTGCTCATCACCCAGATACTGTACATTGTACACATTAGGTAGGGTTTTGTCCATTCCCTCCTTCCTCCTCCCCTTGCTTGATTTCCATTAAGTTTTACTTCCTTCTATGTGTATCAGTTAGCTCCAATTTAATAGTGAGTACACGTGGTATTTGTTTTTCCATTCTTTAATGTAATCTCATCCCAGGGAATCTATACTTAGATATCACCTCTGTAAGAATACTTAATGTAGCAACACTAACAACAACAACAACAACAAAAACCAACCAACAAAGCCTGGAAATAAACTGAATATCCAGCAATGGCATACGGTTGAATAAATTGTGGTGCATTCATACCATGTAGCTATTACAGAGAATAATTTAGAGCCAAACCAGTTTATCTGAAGGAGTTTTCAGGAATATTGCTGAATGAGAAAAGCAAGAGGCACATATGTGTGTATGAGATCCTATTTTAAAAAAGTGAAGACAAAATCCCTCTGCATGCATATTGTAGATATGAGGGTGCCCCGGGAGTTTCAACGTGAATTACTTAGGGCCGAGGGAATGGGAAAATGTTTTGGGTGGATGGTAGGAGGTGAGGGTACTGAAAAACTTTGGTAAAAATGAAAAGAAGCTGTGATGTGGCCTGTGTTGTGCCAGCATAGTGGGCTGTCTGGCAAGGGTGTGGGCTGTGGCGGCAGCCTGTGCTCCAGTCCAGCTTTTCCATTTGCCAGTGGTGACGCAGTGGAGAGGTCAGCAGTGTTCCCAGAGCACCTGCTGTGGCCTGTGAGTTTGCAATACACAGGTGAAGATGCCACTTCTCCTTCTAGAAAGCTTCCATGTGAAGGTCAACATTTTATACACTGGATGCCATGGGTGTGTCACTTAATTTTATGAGCCTCAGTTTCTCCATCCATAAAATGGGATTCCAATATCTGCTTTACAGGGCTACTATGATTAAATACGTGCAGCATGGATGTAACTGCACCGTTTTGGGCCACATGCCTCTCATTATAGGGACAAAACCAACATGTTATTAATATTATTGTCTGTATGGGTAGGAAAACAGGTAGTGGGAATGTGTAAGGCAGGGTGGGGATGGAGTAGAGTCAGAGAAAAGTAAGTTTGAGAGCTAAGGCATAAAAAAGTAAGGTAGAATTTTATGATGGTTTCTTGAAAATGCAGAGGAAAGGAGGTAAATTTTTTCATTTATTCATTCATTTGAAAGCATTCGTTTAATACTTACTACGTTATACATCAGTGGACACAATAGACCTGGTTATAATCCGGAAGGAGGAGATAGACAATAGACATTAAAAGGATTTTTTAAAAAGTAAATATGCAGTACACTAGGAGGTTCCATGGAAAGAAGGACAAGCAAAGCAGGGAAGTGTAGTCATTTTCTGGGGCTGCTATAACAAAGTACCACAAACTAGTGGTCTAAACAACAGAAATTTATTTTCTCACAGCTCTGGAGGCCAGAAATCTGAGATCAAGGCAGGGGCAGGGCCATCTCCCTCTGAATGTTCTAGGAAGGATCTGCTCCAAGCCCTCTCCTGGCTTCTAGGAGTTCTTGGCTTGTGGCAGCACTTTATCCTCTCATGGTTTTCTCCCTGTGTGCATGTCTGTCTCTGTGTCCAAATTTCCCTTTTTCTAAGGATGCCAGTCACACTGGATTACGGGCCCACTCTACTGTGACCTCACCTTATCTAATTATATTGGCAATGACCCTATTCCCAAATAAGGTCTCTTTTTGAGATACTGGGATTAGGACTTCAACATATGAATTTATATGAAAGGAAGGGAGATTGGAGTGTTCAAGAGTGTGGGTGGGCTGCAACATGAAATAGGGAATTCAGGGTGGGCCTTGTTGAGAAGCCGACCCTGGAGTGAAGGCGTGAGAGAGGTAGGGACTGGGCCCTGCACGTGTCCAGGGAAGAGCGTGCCAGGCAGAGGGCATGGCCAATGCAAAGGCACCAAAGCAGGAGTGCGCTTGGGATTTTCCAGGGACAGCGGGGAGCCAGGGTGGCTGTAGCAGAGAGAGAGAGTGAGGGAAGACCAGGAGGCGAGGATCTGGCAGAGAGCATGCGGCCCCTGCAGGCCTGTGAAGTGCTTTGCCCTGTACTCTGAGCTTAATGGGTAATTATTCCAGGTTCCGGGCAGAGTAGAGATATGATCTGGCTTTTGTTTTGAGAAGGGTCACTTGGCAGATGGTTTGAGAATACGCTGTGAATGGGTGTGGAAGTCATTAGGAAGCTAGAGCTGTGATCCAGGCAAGGGATGACTGAGACAGGAGAGAGGCGAGAATTGCTGGGGCAGGGTCCAGTAGGGAAGTGGGGGATGGGATTGGCTTTAGAAAGCCATGGCAGGGTACCAGGCCTCTGTAAATACATATAACTTAAATTCTTTTCTCTTAATGCATACTTAAGGAATCTAGCAAAATACCTGGTGGACATAAGTCCCTCGATAAAGGTCAGTTTCTTCCTTTTCCCTTCCTCTGCACCATCCTACATTTCTCCATTCCCAATCATTCATCTTAATCTCTGCTGTCTCCTTAATCCTTAAAGAGTGTGAACATGAGTTGGCTTAAAGAAATGCATTTTGAATGGTCTTCTGAGGAATCCTAGGTTTTTGAGGCAGTGCTTGGGGTCCAGGTGAGGGTGAAGAAAAGGTTACATGGAGGGACACTTGGCCAACTGCCTACCCTCCACCATTGCCCCATTCCCCACTTCATACAAAAAAACTACATCTTTGGTTGGTATACAGGTGTTCATGAAAAGAATTTTTTTTAAAAAGGTACAAGGGTAAAAGACTCAGATGTATAATTTAATGTAGTTTTCTGAATTTCTGTGAGTTGGAGAATTAGAAAAGGGAAAAAGCAACATAGGCTGTAATAAGTCCAATTTAAGGAGCAAGTGAAACCTGAGCACAAAGTATAAGTAAATGTAGTATTTGAATAGGCAGATAGATCACAAAATAATCCAAGAGTCAGATGCAGTGGGAACATTAAAGAAAATGTTAAATGGAGTAGACATGGTTATAGAAACTAAATAGGGAGAAATGTGAATTACAAAGATGAGACCATGTTCTTTCTTTAGCTTACAAACCCACTGAGAGAAGAATTTGTCTCATGTTAGATAATGAGTAGTAACTTTAGTTTTCCTTCATATAGCTATGACAGGATAAATGTAGTACACAATGTTTTAAGTAATAAAATCTACCAATAACATCTAAGATGAACTGTTAAAAAAATGGGATCATCACATCCAAATAGGGTTAGAATAATCCAGGCATGAGACATGGCTTTAGGTGGTATCACTAGGAAGTAAGAAGAGGAAGGCATCTAAATGGTATTTCCTAAAAGAGAAAAATTAGTAGAAGAGCAGAATGAATTGTTAGAAGATGGATCAGAAGGAAAAGTACACAATAGTATATGACAAAATTTTGAAAGGTGAGCCAACTGCTTTTAGCAGCTGCATTGTAACTTGTCTTCCTTCATACAAGCAGCCACTTGGTGATCCCTTACATGCATAAGGCATTGGGCTTTTTCCTGAGAGCTCTGCACAATGGGGCAAATTCCTGGCTGAGACATATAACCAACAGTTGCACAGTAAAAGTCGTTCCCATGAGCCAACCACCAGTCACAGCTTATACTGGAACTGAGACACATAATTCAATCTGAGACACAGATAGGTTCAGGCTGAGACAAATGGCCCAGGGTGACTTTAAGGAGGGTCCCAGTCCCTTACATCTGTCACTAAATATCAATTATAATTTCTTACATAGGTTGGACACAGATAGGACAGAGGCTAAGTGCATGCTCTCCAGTAGGTAGCAGTAGGAAGAAGAGAAAGACCCCTGAGGGGGTGGTTGTCTGGCCATCCTGCTCACTGCCCCAGCTGTAAGTCACCTGCGGAGGAGAAATGGATCCTATCCCAAACTTGGTTCAGATGTTAAGAATGATGATGGGACACACACAATAAGAGGGTATGAAAAGGCTTTTGGGGGAGAGAGCAAGGGCAGGGGTGTTTATGGTGGTCGAGGGGTGGGGCTGGGCTGACTGTTTCCACATGTGGTTTCAACTTCCCCTCAGTGCCAAGGGAGAGAACACTTGGGCTTTCTTATCAGTTTTTCCAAATGTGGGGCAGAGGGGGAAGAGAGAAGGATGGGGCTTAGAAGATATCAGCAGTCAAACATAAAAAATGAAGGATACAGGGTAAGCTATTTAAAATATTCTGTAATTAGAGAAATGCAAGTTAAAACAATAATTAGAAATTAAAACCCATTAGATTAGCCAAATTCTTAGAAATCTGCATAACACTAGGTATAGGCAGGGATGTGGGGAACTAATACCCTTGTGCAATGTACAAGGGATTGTCAAATGACGTACCCAATCTAGAAAATAACGTGGTTATACTTAGTCATATTAAGTATTAGTATACCCAATGATAAAGCAATCCCACTAGTCTTCCCCAACAAATTTTCATTTCTTATAAGAATAGTTCATGGGGCCGGGCGCGGTGGCTCACATCTGTAATCCTAGCACTCTGGGAGGCCGAGGCGGGTGGATCGCTCAAGGTCAGGAGTTCGAGACCAGCAAGAGCGAGACCCCGTCTCTACTAAAAATAGAAAGAAATTATCTGGACAGCTAAAAATATATATATATAAAAAAAAAATTAGCCGGCATGGTGGCGCATGCCTGTAGTCCCAGCTACTCGGGAAGCTGAGGCAGAAGGATCGCTTGATCCCAGGAGTTTGAGGTTGCTGTGAGCTAGGCTGACGCCACGGCACTCACTCTAACCAGGGCAACAGAGTAAGACTCTGTCTCAAAAAAAAAAAAAAAAAAAGAGTAGTTCGTGAAGAAATTTATTGCAGAACTGTTCGTAGTAGCTGAAAAACTGGACAAGTAAAGTGGTAGGTATGCACACTGCAGAAAGCTGTGCAACAATCAGAAGCAACGGACTAGAAAAACACATTGCAACATGGACCAATTTGCAAAAAAAAAAGAAAAGGAAAGAAATCGAGTAGGATATATAAGCAGTACCATTTCTATAAATTAAAAATACCAAAAATTTAGACTTTACAAATAACCCACAAATTCAAGAATAGATGGCAAAAATTTCAAATATATTAGAGCAGTTGCCTTTGGGAAGAGTAAAAATAAGTATGGATAGTGGGAATTAAAAGGAATAAATAAAATAAGAGGGGGGCCTTTAACACATTGATGACAATATTGACTATAAACTCAATCTACTGCACATGAAGTACAAAAACTTTTTGTAAAATATCAAAAAAAATAAATTAGATAGAAAGATCAAGTCAGTGTTGTGTTGCACCAGCCAAATAGGAAGAAAACGTCAATGGTACTCTCAGAGTCAACAGTTAGAGAAAAGACACGAGGAGATTACAAAATAAGCCCATCTCTAGATGAGAATTCTGAAGCACTAAGGAAAAAGAGAGAAAATGAGAAGAAAACAGTAGGAGCCGAGTGTGACTCATGGTAATTTTTAAAGAAAGCAGATCTGTAAGTATTTGAATGATTAAGAAAAGGATCTAAGACCTTGATGGAGATTAAAAGAATAAAAATTCTTTATTAAGAAAAGAGAAAAAAAAAAAAAGCAAGAAAGCAGGATCCTAGATGATGTAGGGTAAGATACGATCCAAAGTACCAGTAATTGTAACATATTCCCTCCTAAAAAGTCAAAGAACAAGACACTGATATGGGAAGGGCCCCTAAGCAGGGACAGCATTTAGATATCCCCGGGGCCATATCAACTCTATGCAAGCAGTTCTCAAAGTACAGAAATATGCCAGGAAAATCACATTAATGGCACCTCAAAGTTGCTGGCCTCTGCCAGTGCAGCTGCAGCTGAGTCGTACTGTCTGGCATGCTCTTGGTGCCCTGCTCACCTGAACAGTTCTGACAGGAGAGCCCACCATCCAACACACACAGCTCCCCTCCTTGCTCCAGGTTGAAGATAACTTCTGGTTTGGGAACTTGACATCCTATTAATGGGAAATGACAGAGGACTTGGTTTCACAGGCCATACAATAAAGCATTCCTCTTGCTTTCTAGAAAAGTTCACTGGAAACAGTTATATTCACAACACCCAAAAGAGATTATCAAAAACATGGGACACAATATGGACAAAACCATTACATACTTCAGATGTCCTGCAGTCTTTAGAAGTTCCACATACCTCAGAAAAACCACAGATTTCAGAAATTCCACTGAGAAACAAAACACTCGATTAGGTATAGACTGTTAGATACCCAGCAGAGCTGTGCTTACCCACTGATATCAAGTTGAAATAGTTTTCCAGCGTCACATCCCTGTACAGGCTTTTCTGAGCAAGGTCCAATTGCTGCCACTCCTCCCTGCTGAAGTCTACAGTTACATCCTTGAATGACACTGATCCCTGTAAAAATAAACTCCTATTCAATGTGAAGGATCAAGATTGTGGGGTGGAAACAAGATATTTAGGACCTTATTTTTAATATGATACAATATATTATATCATAAAGAACTTCTACAACTCAACAACAATAAAAAAAACAAAACAAACAAGTAAAAAATGGGCAAAGGGCTTGAATAGACATTTCTCCAAAGAAGACATACAGTCAATAAGCATGAGATGATGCTCAACATCACAAGTCACTAGGGACATGCAAATCAAAACTACAAGATAGCACCTCAAACCCATCAAGATGGTAAAGAAAATGTCTAAAATTGATTATAATGACGGTTGTGCAACTTGGTAAATATACTAAAAATCAATGAAATGTATACTTTCAATGGATAAACTGCCTAATATATGAAGGTGAGGGCTCTATTTAGGCACTGCCATATCCACATGAGATGCAGGAGCTTGTGGCAGTCCAGTGCTTCTTTTAAGAATAACTATAAATGCCAGAAGAAGTACTGAAATCATCTGCTTAGTCAATCATGTCCATGTGATCAAGCCTCAGCAAAAACTCTGGACATCAAGGCTCAGGGCAGCGTCCCCGGTTGGCAGTACTCCATGCATACAGTCACACATCATTGCTGGGAGAAGTGCTGTCTACATGACTCCACTGGGAGAGGACCACTGGAAGCTCACATCTGGAACTCTCCCTGATGCTGCACTAAGCACCTCTTTCCTTGGCTGATTTTAATCCTCATCCTTTCACTGTAATAAACTGTAAACATGAACATAATGGCTTTTCTGAGTTCCAGGAGTTCTAGTGAATTACTGCACCTGAGGGTGGTCTTGGAGATTCCTAAATGCTTTGTACTTGGACTGAAATCTGGCTCTCAGTAGGGCTGCATTCCTTCTGGAAAATGTAGGGGAAAATCCATTTCTTTGATTCTTCCAGCTTCTAGAGGACACCTGTATTTTTTGGCTTTAAAACTACTCAAATTTATTATGTTCATAATTCTGAAAGTCACATGTCCAAAATGGGTCCCACTGGGCTAAAATCAAGATGCTGGGAGGGCTACATTCCTTCTGGAGGCTCTACAAAAGAATCCATTTCCTTTCCTTGTCCAGTCTTGTTAAGGCTCATGGCCCCTTCCTCTATCTTCAAAGCCAGTAGAGTAGCATCTTCAAATCTCTTCCTAGAGGACTCTAATTTTCTGGCCTCCTTCTTTCACTTATAAGAACCCTTGTGATTACATTAGATCCACCCAGATAATACAGGCTAATCTCCCCACCTCCTTAACTTAATCACATCTGCAAAACCCTTTTGCCATGTGAGGTAACATATTCACAGGTTCCCAGGGATTAGGATGTAGATACCTTTGGGCTATTATTCTTTCTACCACATCCAGTAAGAGAAAGCAGAGAAATGTTGCTAAAAGGTTGCTAAAAGTGAAAAAAAAAAAATGGCTTAAAAATTCTGAGTAAAAATGATTTACAATCCAGAATTACACACCCAACCAAGCTACGAAGTTAGTGAGGGTAAAATAAATAACAATATTTCCAGACATGCAATGTCTCAAAAAATTTACTTCCCACGCATGCTTTCTAGAAAGCTACTGGACAATATGTTCTAAAAAGGAAAACATAATCAAGAAGGAGCTAGAAAACAAAGAGATCTAACATTTGAGAAACACGAATGGAATTTCTAGTATCATGTAGAAGGGAGAGCCCACATCAGTAGCTGAGTATCAAATAGAGAGCAACTATGAGCAGGTCAAAGACTCCAAGAGAAGTTTCTTTGAATAGCATATATTCTAGAGCCAAACTGCCTGGGTTTACTATTTACTAGCTGTGTGATCTTGGGCAAGTTACTTAACCTCTCTGTGCATCTGTTTTCTCCTTTGTAAAATAAGGCTAATGATTGTAGATAGTTCATAAGGGTTGTGATTAGATTAGTTAAGAGAGAGAGAGAGAGAGAGAGAGAGAGAGAGAGAGAGCGAGAGAGAGCGCGAGCTTATAGTGCATGGCATATAGTAAGTACCATATTAATATTTGTGATTACTGTTACTGCTATTTAATATATTTTAATATATTAAGAAGATATTTATTTACATGCCTGGGAAGAATGGAGTTGAATTAGTGAGATGTATATATATATATGGAAAATGAAACAAATGATTAAGCCAGACAACTATTAATTCTAGGCAAAACAAAAAACAGTGCATAAAAGGTAAGTAAATGGCTCAGTTATGAAGACAGCTAAAATAATCATAATAATACAGCCTATTGATTTGCCCAAAATTATGATACATTTATATTAGAAGGAGGGTAAAAGAGAAATGTGCATGTGAACGTTGAGGGTCCAAGTATCTGAAAGGGAGCTAACTCCTTACTTTCCATTGTGTTGTCAGTAGATACTGCTTAAAACTAAAAGCCAAGAAGTACCAATATAAGCATGTTATTTAGACTCATGAAAGTAAATATCGAAAGAATTAGTTAAACTGAGTTCACAGCAATTATCTTTGAGAAGTTGGAATTTAAGGGGTAAAGAGAATAGATGATAGCTGTTTTTTCTAAGAAGATTCAAAGAACAATTTGAGTAAATACAGGTATACAATTCATGACATTCGAAATGAAATATTTACCTTTAAAAGTTAAAATACAAAGGACAATGAGGTAACTATAATTGAAAAATACCATATAAGACTATGCTTAATATATAAAGTCCTCTATACAAAAATCAGTGAACTGGCTTCCACTTCTGGAAAGATGGAGTAATGCACTTGTCCTGAGTCATCCTGCTAAGTACATCTATAAACCATAGACATTATTCATAAAACAAACATAAGGAGATTCTGAAAGGTGAAGAAAAAAAGGCAAACTGGCTAGGGACCTCAGGAACCAAGAAACTAAATAGCAGTGAGTTCCCTAAGTCATTTTTTTTTTGCCTCATAAACCCCTGACCAAGTGCTCTAAAAGCCTACAACCCAGAAACACCAACAAATACGCACAAAAAAGTCCAAAGAAAAGTCTGCTCTCTCTAGCTAGAAGACTAGGAAAGGGGCAATCTAGAAAGACAAACTTTTAGACAAAACCTACTCCAGACAAACACCACAGATTAAAAAACAACAACAAACCGAGGCGCATCAGCAAAGACTCAGTGGATAGCCTAGACTCCTACTCTTGCCTGGCTATATGGAGGTACCTTCTACAATTGCAATCGAATAGTGTGGGAAAACCAACTGGGGAGGATGGATTTCCATTCCTAGCAGTAATGAGACACTCCTCCCATCCCCACATTTATGGTGTCAGAGGAAGCCAAGTGGGAATCCAAGACTTTCATCCCTCTGAGAGGTAATGAGGCCCCACCCACCCTGGCAGTGTCAGAGAAGACAATATGGAGAATAGAAATGAGGTACTCCCTCCCTCTTCCAGACAAGGTGGTATCACCAGAGGTCTACTGGGCAACCTGAACTTCCAACCCCACCCTGCAGTAATGAGGCCTTCCTCTCCTGACAGAGTATTAGTGGAGTTCAAGTAGGGAACCTGGGAATTCATCCCAACCTGGCAGTAGCACAGCAGGGTCACTCTTCCCACAATGGCCCAGAGGACACCTGCTAAAAGAGAAGACTTAAATAAGATCTAGAGTCTCATAACATAATGCCCAATACATCTATAATACATTAAAAAATCATCTGTATAAGCAAGAACCAGGAAAAGCTCAACTTGAATGAGGAAACAACCAATCAACAGATACTAAAACTGGGGTGACAGATGTATTGGAATTATCTGATAAGCATTTTAAAGAAGGCCTCATAAAAATGTTTCAACAAGTAATTATAAACATACTTGAACCAAATGAAAAAAAAAAGTCTCAATAAATAAAAATTCCCAGCAAACAAACAGGAGATAAAGGAGAACCAAAGAAAAATTTTAGAACTAAAAAGTAAAATAACCAATATTAAAAACTCAATGAGTGGGTTCAGTAAAATAATGGAGACAATAGAAGAAATATTCAGAGAACCTGGAAATAAAATAAAAACAATCCAATCTAAAGAATGTAGAGAAAACAGACTGAGAAAAAAAAAAAATTAACAGAGCCTCAGGAACATGTGGGACAACAACAAAAGATTTAACATTTGTGTCATTGGAGTTCCAGAAAAAGAGGAGAAAGGAATGGGGCTGAAAAAGTATTTGAAGAAATAATGAATGAAAATTTCTGAAACTTGGCAAAAGACATACACTTACAAGAAGTTGAGCAGATCCCAGACAGGATAAAACCAAAGAAATCCATACCAATAAAGAATCATAATCAAACTTCTGAAAACTAAAGTCAAAGAAAGAATGTTGAAAGCAGTCAGAGCAACTACATATTACCTACAGGAGAAAAATATTTGAATGACAGTGTGTGATAAAAAGAACAATGACTCCCCAAAGATGTTCACATCCTAATTCCCAGAGACTGTGAATATGTTAGGTTAGATGGCAAAAAGGAATTCAGGTTTTAGATGGAATAGAAGTTGATAATAAACTGTCCTTCAAATACGGAAATTAATTGTCCTGAATTCTCTGAGTGGGCCCAATATAATCACAAGTGTCCTTATAAGTTAAAGAAGGAGGCAGTAAAAGAGAGTCAGAGAAACAGATGTGACTATGGAGGAGTGGTTAGAGAGATACAGTATGAATGGCCTTGAAGATGGAGGAAGGGTCAAAAAGCTAAGAAATGTGGGTAGCCACTAGAAGCTACAAAAGGCATAGAAAATAGAAACAGATTCTTTTCTTAGAGCCTACAGTAAGGAATGCGGCCCTGCTAACACCCTGATTTCAACTCAGTCAGACTCACGTTGAACTTCTGAATAATAGAACTGTAAAAAAAAAAAAATGTATTATTTTAAGCCACTAAATTTGTCATAATTTGTTGCAGCAGAACAGAAAACTAACACACAGTTTTAATTAAGATCAGAAGCTCTGGAGGCCAGAAGGAAGTAGCACATGTTTGAAGTGCTAAAAGAAAAGAACTGTCAACTTAAGAGTTTTCTTTAGGTCAAAAACATTCTTCAAGATGATAGGAAAATCAAGACATTCTCAGATGAAGAAAAACTAGTATTTGTCATTAGCAGACCTACCCTGTAAGAATGACTAAAGGAAGGTTTTGAAACAAAACAGAAATGATGAAACAAAGAATCTCAGAACATCAGGGAGAAACAACAAGGGAAAGAGTACAAATATTGGTAAATACAAAAGATTTCCCTTTTCTTTTGAGTTTCCTAAACTACATTAACAGTTGAAGCAAAAATTATAACATTGCTTGATGTGGCTCTGAATATATGTAGAGAAAATATTAAAGACATCTATATTATAAATGAGAAAGCATAAAAGGCCTTAAGAAGTAAGATTTTTATACTTCACTCAAACTCATAAAATATAGATACCAGTAGACTTTGATAAGTTATGTGCAATGTAATACTTAGAGCAACCATTAAAGACATCTATATTATAAATGAGAAAGCATAAAAGGCCTTAAGAAGTAAGATTTCTATACTTCACTCAAACTCATAAAATATAGATACCAGTAGACTTTGATAAGTTATGTGCAATGTAATACTTAGAGCAACCGTTAAACAAACTATACAAAGAAATACGCTTAAAAAACTGTAGATAAATCAAAATGGAATTCCAAAATATGTTCAAATAATCCACAGGAAAACATAGGAAAAAAAAGAAACAAAAAGTAAACAAATGCCCGAGGAAAAAAACATAAAACAAGAAATAAAATGACAGATTTAAGCCATATCATATCAATAATTATGTCAAATGAAGTGGTCAAATAAAAATACACTAATTAAAGGACAGCTTAGCGGAATGGATAAAAACACTTCACTTAACTATATTCCGTCTATAGGAAAATCACTGCAAATACAGCGATATAGATACGCTAAAACTAAAAGAACAAAAAAATAATGTCAAGTAGCATTGACATTCTGTGGGAATTTGTGAGGAATGCAAACTCTTGTATCCCATCCCATACCTACTATATTAGAATCTGAATTCATATGCAAGTAAAGTGTGAGAAGTATTGCTCTATAAGATGACACTAGAAAACCTGTTAGTGCACTTTGAACAGGGCTGCTGTTGAAGACACTCTGTCACCATTCAACTGAAGATTTTCTGAAACACCAAGAACCAGAAAATCTTTACCACAGATGAAATAAACTACTTCTTAATAATGTAAACCATGTATTCAATTCCCAGTATTGCTATGTCTGTTAGGAAGGTCAGAGACAATTTTACAGTTCAAAGTTCATAACTGTGTAAGACCACATAACTCATATATAGCTATATTCCAAACTTGGCTTGGAATTGATAGTCTCTTCTTCATTTTCTCTGATCTTAGTTTTTATTTATCTATGCATGTCATCTTACCACATGGATTTAGATACCTCGGAAAATCCACTAAAAACATAAAAGAAAGCAACAAATAAATTGATGAACAAATAAGAACTCACCAGGGACTTGGTCATTTTTGGCTCTTTTGGGAAAGCGGCAGAGATCTGAGAAAACAGATGAGTATAGGTACAGATGAGAGAAGGAAGGGTGCCAATGTCACACATGGATATATACATCAATAGTGCCCATGCACCTGTTCCCCAAAAATTTATTTCTAGAACTATATCATTAAAAAGCATCCCATATCATAGTGCACAAAGATTTAAATACAGGAGTTTTACTACAATATGGCTAATAACAAAGAAAGGCTAGAAACATTTTGATATCTAATAATTATGGATTGCTTACATACTTTATAGAATATCCAAATGACATACTGTTATATAACATTATTATGCTATCTGACTTCACAGGCTTGTCAAGTTATCGCCAACTCTGGCACCTTACTCCTTACTCCCACTCATCAATCTGCTCCAAATGTCAATTGCTGCACAGACCCCACCCGTAGAAGCCATTACTCAGGCCTCAGAATAATCACTGATTCCCATTCCGTGCTGCTCATGGGCCCCAAGTCACTCATCCTCTAGGCTCTGATCACAGAGCCTCCAATGCCTTTACCCTCATCAATCAATTCTGCGTCCCCATTACTGGCCTCCATGCCTGTATTACTACTTAGCATTTCCATCAGCCATCCCAAGAGTCCCAATCGCAGGCAGACTTGTACCTGCATAGGGCCTTAGAAAGCACCCAGACGCACCTCCCACCACGGCTACAACTAGGCCTGTGCCATCAGCCTTTCACACAAACTTCTCCACATGCACAAATAGGAACCCAATCAATGCACAAATCTGGGAAAGTTCTTGAACATTAAGGATAGATTAAACATTGAAAACACTTCTAAATCTAAAGTACATGTGAAAGAACAGATTATTTACAGAGAAAGCATAAAGAAAATCAAAAGACTCTTCATCTGCAGTGATAAAAGCTAAATAACAGAAATAGCATCTAAAAGACCACTCTGTTAGCACCAGAGAGACATTGTCAATAGTGAAAGCACTTGCAGAGTATCTCCATCTTCATCTGAGGAAAATATTCCAAGGAGCATTCCAAATAAATGTACGATGAATTAGAAGAGAAATCTTAAATAGGAAAATACTATTTGGCAATAATTCTTGCAAAAGATACATCATTATTAAAGAGGACAATGTGATGATATGATAAGCAGGCCATTATAGAGAAAATTAATAATATCCTATGACAAAACATTCCTAATTATCTCAGAAAAAAAACAGAATTTATATGGCATGTAGAATGGAAACAATGAACAGAAACTTCATTGATCCAATGAAAGTATAAAAAGAAAAAGTAGAAAATAAAAAGAGTTAAATAGTAAACATAAGATGGAAGGCATAAAATCAGGTAAATCATTACTACACTAAGCTCAAGAGGTAAAATTCTGCTATCAATAGAGACTATAGATCAGATTTGGAAAGAACAAAAGGTATCTATTGTTTACAAGTAGGTCATCTAAAACAAAGAGACATTAATATAAAATTATAAAATGAAGCTCTGGGCAAAGATACAGCATCCCAATGCAATTGAATGGAAAGCAGGGATGGCAAGGTAAATATCAAAGTGGAATTCAAAGTTAAAAGTGCTTTTTTTGTTGGAAAAAAAGGATCCTGTAATAATGGTCCAATAAATAAAAAATGGTACAAAATACATTAACTATTAGGTGTATGTATTCCCTCCCCCAGACACACACAAATAAAACTAGCAAAAAAAAAAAACCATAGAAATACAAAGTGAATTGTTAAAGTGAGAGATTTTTATTGTATCTCTTCCAGAATATGATAAATCAAAAGACCAAAATCAGGAAAGACAAAGAAGATTCGAAAAATACAATCAAGCTAGATTTAACATACATAAAGAGAACTTTGCACCATACAAACAAAATGTACTTTATCTCTTATATCCACAGAACAAAGTTCATTGTGTAACGTGGTTTCAAAGAAATCGTGATACATTTTTAAAAGTTGAGAATTGACAGTCTACATTTTCTGACAGTACAATAAAGTTGTTAAAAAGCCCAATTAAAATGTATCTTACTAATCTGGGAATGAAGAAACTCTCCTAAATAATGCAGGATCACAGTGGAATATCGAATTGAATTTATACATTTCATAGACAAAGATGTAGTTAGAGAAACTTTACAACTATAAATGTATCCAGTATAAAACTTATGAAAATAGAGAAAGAACAACAAATTACATCAAAAGGGGGAAAAAAGAAGAAAGTACCTAAAAAGAAAAAAATAATATAAAAGGGAGTAGGGAGTATAAATGAAACTAACAGCCAGTATTTCAAAATGTCCGGTAAAATAGACAAACCCTTGAGTTGCCTGATTTTTATTTTTTTAATTTTTATGTTTTAGATACGGGGGGGGGTCTCGCTATGTTACCCAGGCTGGATTCGAACTCTGGGCTCAAGAGATCGTCCTGCCTCAGCCTCTCCAGTAGCTGGGACTACAGGTGTGCGCCACCGCGCATGGCTAGCGGGGCCCGATTTTTAAAAGAGAAAGAATGAATGATATATAAATATAATAATACGAATGATAAAGGAGCTACTAATCTGGATATGAAAGAGAACAAAATGGAAACTTACGTGCAACCCCACGGCAATATATTTTTAAAATTCCTAACAAAATATACCATAGTGAGTCAGAAACGAAAATGTAAACAGACCGGTAAGCATAGAGGAGAGAGGAAATCAATTAAGACACACACTACTCACCTCTCAGATCCCTCCTTACTCGGTCTCCACAATTATCCTCCTCAACCGATTCCACAGTCCACCCTCACTCGCCACAGATCCACCACCGAGACCCCACTGTGACCCCACAGTCCGCCCTCGCTCCGCCCGCAGATCCACAATCAGAGATCGCTCCAACCCCCACTATTCCATCCAGTGACCGCCCCCATCGCTAACCCGATGGCTCAGCAGAGACATCAGAGAGCGTTCTCACTCAGCCCATAGATGCTCCCATTCCTGCACTCCCTGCCCCTCACCCAAACTTTCTGGGGAGAGTGGTCATTTGCCTCGGGCGGTGATAACAGTCGCAAGAACTAGAAACCGACCTACTGCCTTTTGCATCCCAAGACCAGCGGGACTCAGTACGGCGCTGCCTGGATGTGCGCATGCTCAGCAGTGTCTTTGTGGACGAAGGTTGCCAGTAGTCAACATGGCGCTCGGCCAAACCCGCTGCCGGTTCAGTGACTTAGGCTTGACGCCACTATGGCGGCGCCCATGCAGACACTCTGGCCTGTGGGCGGCCATGTTGAAGTGATGTAGAGATTGTGGGGCTGGGGCTTGTGAGAAGCTAAGAAAGCGAGCGGTGGTATGTCGCCTTAGACTAACCTAGGATTTAACCGAAGCCTATTACCCCAAGTCACCCACAGTGTTTTTCCCGTGCCTTTATGGACTCAACAACATGATCAACCGAAAGGAACTACTTATAGAACACTCCACCCCAAAACAGCAGAATACACATTCTATTCAATTGTTCATGGAGCATTTACCAAGATGTGCCATAACCTGAGCTACAAAGCAAATCTCAACAAATTTAAAACAATCAAAATCATACACAGTGTGTATTCAGAACACAATAGGATCAAACTAGACATCAATAACAGGAAAATCTCCAAACACTTGAAAACACAATGCTAAATAATTCATGGTTCAGAAAGGTAGTCTCAAAGAAATTTCAAAAATACATTGAAATGAATGAAAATGGAAAGACAACATATCAAAATTTGTGGGATGCATCTAAAACAATAGTGAGAGTAAAATTTATGCCACCAAATGTTTACATTAGAAAAGAAGAAATTCCCAAATCAAGTTCCTACCTCAATAAACTAGAAAAGAAAAAGCAAAAGAAGCCCAAAGTATGCAAAAGAAAGAAAATAATAAGGATAAAAGTAGAAATCAAGGAAATTGACAACGAAAAACAATAGAGAAAAGTCAAGTAAATGAGAGCTGGTTCTATAAAAAGATCAATAAAGTTGATAAGCCTATGGAGGAGAGGCAAATTGCCAGTATGAAGAATGAAACAGGAGATACCACTATGGACTCTGAAGACATCAAAAGAATAAAAAGAGAATACAAACAACTCTACAAATATAAATTTGACAACTTAGATAAAAAGTATCAATTCCTCAAAAAGCATAAATTCTCTTACAACATGGTATAGATATGTTGATAGGCCTATAGTTGAAGTTATAATTTAAAATACCTGAAAAAGAACTCCCAGGTGCAAGAGAACCTCCTGCCTCAGCTGCACAAGTAGCTGGGACTGCAGGCGTGTGCTGCCACGCCTGGCTTGCTCACTTTTTCTTATTCTTAATTGATGTAATAGACAACAGTTTATTCAAAATAATAATAGCAACAAAGTATTCAATTATTGTAGTTTATGGATAAATGAAACAAATGACAGAAATGTTTTAAGAGATGGGAGGGAGGAATTGGGAATACTCTTTTATAAGATATTTGCACTACCCATGTGACGTGGCCCGGCTTCAGACCGAGGAATGAACACAGAGACATAAAGACGCAGACACATGGCTGCAGCCCGTACAAAAAGACACAGACACCACAAGACAGTATGAGGCTACAGCGAAAAGCTTTCGCTGAAGCTGTTTATTTATAATACAGGCTGTTTGGCAACTGTCCCACTGCAAGTTCTTTGTTCCCACACCATCCCGACTCAACATGTCCCAGTTCCTTGTTGTTTCGTCTCCGGCAAACAGATGTTTGCATCTCAATTCCCTAGCCCCTCCTGTTTGCAGAGAGAGGACGCTCTGGACTTGCATGCAAGGTCACAGACATATTCTTGAGAGAAACAACAAGGAAACTTTCCCAGACAAAGGTGTCCTCTACACCCATGGAGTGTTAGTTACAGTGTTATTTGAAAGAGGGCTTAGATTAGTCATGAATATATATTGCAAACTCAAGGCAACCACTAAAAAAAGTTCTAAAAAAGAAATATAATTGATACACTAAGAGAGGAGAGAAAGTGGAACTACATAAAATGCTCAATTAAACCAGAGAAGGCAGAAAAAGAGCACAGACAAAAAAGGAAACAAACAAGGGCAATGAATAAGGAGCAAATATGGTAGATATTAATCCAACTACATCAGTGATCATTTAAAACATTAATGGTCTAAATCTACCAATTAAAAGACAAAGACTGTCCTAGTGGATTTAAAAAACTATGACTCAACTATATGTTGTCTACAAAAAACCTGCTTTAAATATAAAGACACAGATTGAAAGGAAAGTGATAGAAAAAGATACACCATGCTAACAATAATCAAAAGAAAGCTAGAGTAGCTATATTAATTTGAGACAAAGCAAACTTCAGAGCAAGGGAAATTATCAGGCTAAAGGTAAACACCAATGGATGTAGACAGAAAGGTCCCCCCAAAAGCCAGCTCTCTCTGGCCAAAAGACAGGAAAAATGCAGCAGAGGAGGACAGAAATATTTTGACCACATCTATAGAACTCCAGGTAAACACCACAAAAAATCTGTGCCCCTTTTCCTCATTAGGTGCTGAGACTCAGAGAATATGGCCTATAATAATAAAGTGGTACTTCTCCCCCTTGTGACTTGGTGCTGCACTTACAAAGATTGTGGGGCGAAGCCCTGTATTTCATCTCACACAGCACCATTCTTACAGACGTGCTTCTTATGCGGTTTGTTCAACCTAAAACTGTGCCTTCTCCAGATCAAACACCTACTTCCTTTATTTTTTCCTATTATAACGCTAACTCCTGACTATACCTCATCTCGCTGAGTACATTTTGGAATCACAGTGGCTACATTTGCAGAACTTTAATATGTACAAATTGTTCATCTGAGATGCGCGTTAAAACAACAACAGCAAGAACAAAACATTCCTACTATCCAATGGTCTGTTTAACTAGTATGAGGAGGCCTCAAACACAATTTGGACTCAAAAATTACATCCCTAAAATTTAATTATTAAATTATTAAATAATAATAAAGTAATATTATTATTACTTTAGAGATAGGTTCTCACTCTGGTGCCGAGGCTGGAGTGCAGTGGCATGATCACAGCTCACTATAACCTCAAACTCCTGGGATCAAGCAATCCCCCTTCCTCAGCCTCCAGAGTACCTGGGACTACAGGTGTGCACCACCATGACTAGCTATTTTTTTTCTTTTCTTTCCTTTTTTTTTTTTGCCTAGAAGGAAGATAACACAAGGAACTGGCTAATTTAAAAATTTTTTTTCTAGAGATAGGGTCTTGCTGTGTTGCTCAGGCTGGTCTTGAATTCCTGGCCTTAAATAATCCTCCCGCTTTGACCTAGGATTACCGGCATGAGCCACCACGCTGGCCCTAAAATATTATTTACCTAAAAGTAATGTAAAATATGAGAAAGTATCTCCCTAAACAATATCTTTAGACAATATTCAGAATTAGCTCCTGATGTTGACATTTCCAGTGCCCTATTGACATTTTTCTTGATGGCTTAAAGCCAGAAATTGCACATATGGTATGTAAACAAAAAATTGACTGGAAAAATCATCCCATTGCATGAACTTTAACATTTTGCCAAATGTTTTAAAGAGACTTGATGTACCAAAATGAAAAAGAACCCTCCGAGGAAAATGATTTCTTTGTCTAAAAGAGAGATACTTTGTTTAACGTGCGAGGCATTCTTTATTTAATTTCTCTACCTTGGGGATTAATAAATGCTGCCTTTTTTATTGTGGTAAAATATACCTAACAAAATTTATCATTTGAGCCATTTTAAAGCATACAGTTCAGTGGCATTAAGTACATTAACATTGTTGTGAAACCATCGCCACTACCCATCTCCAGATTTTTTTTTGTCTTCCCAGCTGAATCTGTACCTGTTAAACACTAACTCCCTGTTTCTTCTATCCCAAACCTGGCAACCAGCATTAAACTGTACGTTTCCATGGTTTTACTACTCTAGGTACCTCGAGTAAGTAGAATCATACAATCTTTGTCCTTTTGTGTCTGGCTTATTTCACTTAGCATAACTTCCTTGAGGTTCATCCCTGTCGTAGCGTGTATCACAATGTCATTCCTTTCTAAGGCTGAATAATATTCCATAGGATGTATATACCACCTTTTGTTTATCCATTCTCTGGGGATGGACATTTGGGTTGTTTCCACCTTCTGGCTATTGTGAAATGCTGCTATAAACATTGGAGCACTAGTATCTGTTTGAGTCCCTGCTTTCGATTGTTTGTGGATATATACCTAGAAGTGGCATTGGTTGATCATATGATAATCCTATGTTTAACTTTTTGAGAATGGGCCAAACTGTTTTACACAGTGGCTGCAGCATTTTACATTCCTGCCTGCAATACACAAGGGTTCTGATGTTTCCACATCTTCACCAATACTTATTTTCTTTCATTTGTTTTTGGTAATACACATTCTAATGGATATGAAATGATATCTCATTGTGGTTTTGAACTACATTTCCCTAAAAATTAGTGATGTTGAGAACTTTTTTTTGTGCTCATTGACCATTCGTATATCTTCTTTGGAGAAATACCTACTCAAATCTTCTGCCCATTTTTGAATCAGATTTTTTGTTTTTCAGTTGTAGCAGTTCTTTATGTATTCTGCATATTAATCTCTTATCAAATATATGATTTAAAAATATTTTATCACACAAACCATGAGTTACCTTTTTACTCTGTTGATAGTGTTCTTTGATGCACAAAGTTTTTCATTTTGATAAAGTCTAATTTATTCTTTTCTTTTGTGTCCTGTGCTTTTGGTCATATCCAAGAAATCACTGCCAAAGCCAATGTCATAAAACTTTTCCTCTATGTTTTCTTCTATGACTTTTATAGTTTTAAGTCTTATATTTAGGCCTTTGATCCATTTGAGTTAATTTATGTATATATTAATTGCATAAGGCAAGAAACCAACTTCATTCATTACATGTGGATACACTGTATCCAGTTTTCCCTACACTATTTGTTGAAAAGACTCTATTTCCTACATTCAATGGTCTTAGCACCTGGTCGAAAATCATT